GCGCTGAGTAGTTGAACTGTGACGGAAATTTGTTGTGGACAGATGCACATATAAACATGAAGTTGACATCGGTTTTTTTAACAAAAATGAATCCCACCATATGGCATGCTTAAACAAAGAGTGTGCTAAAATTTCAATCATCTGTGATGAGTACTTGATGAGAAAACTGCGACGAAAATTTGTTACGGACAGACACATAGACAAGGGTAAAACAGTATACCCCCCCTCCTTTGAAGCTGGGGTATAATAAGATTAAAATACCTTTAAATTCTTGCAATTAATATTCTTGAAAGAGGCCTACATGTATGTGGAAGGGTTAGGATTTAAAAGAAGGTAGTATGGGATAACATACGAAACTTTTCCTGTATATTTATTTGCCTTAATGAGTAGGAATTGAAATATCCCCACATTTCAATATGATAAATTCTAAATTTGATTATTTTTACGAATTTGATTAATTTAATAAAAATGATTTTTGTTTCTTTTTTTTTATTATAGGCAAGAGTTCCCTAATATAGTGCTGATATAAAAGTGAAAAGAAATGTCTCATTATTTGTTGAATCTTCAACAAACCATAAACATAATAAATTGGGAAAACTCCAAGATGTGTCTCCATCAGAGCATTACCGGTAATACATGTATTTTTTGAAAACAGACGGATAATATTCCATAGTAATCTACAATTATAGTGTGCCTAAATATGTTTTTTTTAAAAAGTGAATTATACAAATTGAAGAAAATGTATAAATGGAAAATACAAGATGCATTCATTTTTTTTTTAATTAAAAAATCCTAATGGAAGAGTTATCCTTCTTTATTTTCGAAGGCTTGAAATTTCAGAAATTAGGAGCATCCCCCCCCCCCCCCCCCGCCCAATTTTGCACTTAAATTCAGTGATACATTTGACTTTGAACTGTTTTGAAAACAACGAATGAACAATCGCTTTCCAATATGTGTCTCCTTTAGAGCATTATTTGCAATCAAAGATTAAAAAGTAGTAGGGCTATTTGTGACCAAACAGTAACTTCTTCGATGAAATAACAAAGAAGACCAGTTCTGGTTAATATGAAAACGGACTGGTAATAAAATCAGCATAATGTGAAGTAATCATACTTATCCATGCCTCACTGCACACAAAGTGAGCAAGCACCAATAGAAAACCCGCACAAAGTCATACTTTCTATAATATATTGGGTACCATCTCTTATCCACAACTCCTCCTATACCTATGAATTAAATTCAAACAAGAGATGTTTGTGAAACACTTATGCCCCGTAACGCCCAATATTTGGAATTTTTCTACGTTCAATGGGCATACCTCTGTCAAGAATTGCTCGATCGTACCCAAAACAGAACTTGACCTAGTTACTTTTAAGATAAATCTGTATACCAAATTTCATTTCAGTATGTGCACTCTCTGCGAAGTAAATGTAAATGTAACTGCAAGTAATTGGAGTTTTTCAAAGTCCAAGGGGCATAACTCTGTCAAATATTGCTCGATCGTACCCAAAGAAACATTGTCCTAGATATTCTTATAATAAATCTGTAAACCAAATTTCATTTCAATATGTGCAACCTCTGCGAAGAAAATGAACGGAAACTGCAAATAATTGGAGTTTTTCAAAGTCCAGTGGGCATAACTCTGTCAAATATTGCTCGATCGTACCCAAAACAGAACTTGACCTATTTACTCTTAAGATAAATCTGTATACCAAATTTCATTTCAGTATGTGCAACCTCTGCGAAGAAAATGAAGGGAAACTGCAAATAGTTGGAATTTTTCAAAGTCCAAGGGGCATAACTCAAATATTGCTTGATCGTTCCCAAAACAGAACTTGATCTAGATATTTTTATGATAAAGCTGTATAGCAAATATCATTTCAGTATGTGCACTCTCTGCGAAGAGAATGAACGGAAACTTGGTGGACCGACAGACAGACCGACCGAAAGACAGCAGCAAAGCAATATGCCCGCCCTTCTTCGAAGGGGGGGGGGGGCGGGATAATACAATATTTAGAATCTTACATATTGCCATAGTATGGGACTTTGCCGTTATACTCATATGGGAGCAGAGGTATCATTTTGTGAGTTCAGTGCTCACAGTACCTATAGATTATTTGTTTTCTAGCCGGGATCATTGCTCGTAGAGCAATATCCGGCTTCGGTCACGTTTGTCAACCGGATATGCTGCTTCCTCACCGCCAAATCAATTTACGAGTAAGAATATAGTACGTATGCTCAACCGGTGCCGCTTTTGAGACAATACGCATTTGAAAAGTTCTGAGAACTGTGAAAAATGTTAACCTTTTATCGGAAATTTGAGTTTAATATAATTGGACAGATCACAAAAACATACAAATATTGTGACGTCACTGTAATTTTTATTGTGTAATAACTCCGAAAAGTTAGTACATATCTTTGTATATAGTATCACACTGTATATGTAAGTAACAGTTCTAGGTACGAGTTGACTCCTTGGGTACGACTCGAGTTTGGGTACGAGTTGACTGTAAATCGTTCTGAGGTGGTTGAAGAGTGTGTCAAACAAAGCATGTTATTATCGAATCTCGTGCAAAATGTTGGATTAAAAAGACGCTGCTGTGAAAAATCACAAAGTTGACAATCACAGGAGAATAGTGGAAGGTGTTGCAGTATTTGCTGGCATTATTTCGTCGGGTGTTTAAACCAATTTTGTGGGAACGATTAAAGCTCAAAAGAGGTTCAGCTAAGCCTAAGGGTGTCCCAAATTTACTCGTTAAAACCAAAATGGCACCAGCGTAGTTCTATCCCCACCGTAACTCGACATGACAGATTTAAAAATCTCATGTTGATAGAGGTTGTCATGGTCATTCCAGTGTCCAGCGCTGTATGTGAGAGGGGTTTCTCTTGTATGAAAAGGATAAAATCTGATTGGAGGTCAAGACTCGCTACAGATATGATGAACCACCTTTTGACTGTCAATTGAGGGCCCTTCGCTTGATGAATATAATGCAGGGAGGGCTCTTCATATATGTTTCACCCAAGGACAGAGACAAATAAGAACACGCTTTAAGGCAGAGGATCCGGAGGATGAAGGAGAGGATGATTTGTTGAATTTATTTATTTTTTTTTTTATTACATTTTTTACTTGCACACGACCCACAGGCCGCACGAAATGCAGTTTAAATACTGATTGATGTAAATCATTTGAAATAAATGATTAATGACATTGTCTCAAAGTATTTCTTTAATCATTACTCATTTATAATAACGTTATCAAGCGTAAATTACCTTCCAGTGTTAACATTTTAAGTTCTATTTTCTGAGTTATTAGATTATTAATAAAATAATTGAGTTTTTTTTTCTTCTTTAAAATTTTGGGCAACCAAGTTTCATATTCGGACAAGTCAAAATTTGAGTCTAAAAGTTCATGTCTATCTCTGACATGTTCGAAAATTTTTAATCACGGCAAATAAATAGGATTTTACATGGCAATGAAACTCAGATTTGTTTTTTGAGTCGAAAATCAAAAGCAATAGTGAGTTTTGGATCGCCGAAGTTGAAATAATATGAAACAAAATACGCACAGAAACAAGTCCAGGGGAAGACTTTCGTACGTTTTATTCGTAAACGGTAAGAGTCCTGATACTCAAGATACATTTGTGGAAAGCTGCATTGTTATGCTTCAGTTTTATATAGAATATGTTTTATTCAACATAGTGGAGGGCTATATAATGCACCAAGAATCCAGTTATTTATAAATAAAAATCTTTTATGAATACCTATGATAAAATAACCGGTCATTAACCGTGCTTATTAACCAAGCAAAATAAAATAAAAGATGGAATTGCTGATTTACAATACCATTCTTAGTCTTACTCTATCTCCATGCAAATTTTCTTTGAAATATTTTTTTCAAAGAAGCCTTTGACAGCACATTTTCGATGTTCTCATGTGGACAAAAACGCTACTTTTCAGTATGCTAAACAAGAATCGAGATTATTACGTCATAGAAATAAGAAAGTGACGTCAATTTAAGTGCAAATTTTCCACCTCTTGTTAATGGTATCAAACTTATTAACTTCCGTAAATGATTTATATTTTAGCAAGCAGTTCTAAGAGCTTTTCAAATGTCTCTCGTACAAACACGAAGTCAAAGTAAACTGAGGCATTGTCAAAACAAATAAACATTAATTGTGATATACTTTCTCTCATGTTCTTCGATTAATTATTTGTTTGAAATTTGCAAAAGGTCCCCCCCCCCTTGTCTGCGTCACATTCTTTAAATAGAGTTTGTGTTACCAGACTAACATTAATGCGGGGAGCACGTGACCTGATGTAAACCTTGCATCAAAACTCCCCGCTGAGGCTGCATCAATGTCTTATTTACATGTACTTCTGTATTTGGTATTCATAAGACATATGATAATTTCTTTACATTGTTAAATTCTAACTACATGTATATTTTATTCAATTTTTTGACATTTTTATGCCATAGAAATACCTTTCTGTGTCCTATATTCTTCTAGTTTCTAAACTTCTTGTTATTAACCGTTATTACAATGTACATGTATGTTTCACGTAAAACGGTCTTTGTTCACTACTTTGTAAATAATTTCAATGAGCCCGGCTCTCTGTACTTCTCAGTACTTTGATTAGTATTAATTTTGTAAAATTATGCCTCAACTTAACTGACACGCACATCCATGTCAGCAGTATAGAATTTATGGATACTGCAGGTATATATGACATTTCAAAATACACAGTTAATTGATTGATTATATTCTATTGCTAAGTAAGACCGAGAATAAACTTGCATTGGAAGTCAGACATAAATTATATAGCGCAGTCTCACACTGCATAGGATAATTACATATGAATTATTGATACTGTGATCAAAGTGTTCCATAAAGATAACTAATTAGACCAAGTAAGTTGTACGATAAAACGGACCAATGTAAGCACTCGGAGAAAACAGGAGATTCAGGAAATTAAAATTCAGTGATTTGCCACTTCATAAAATGAATAATATGAATGTAATTTTTTGGATGTGTGTTATTTCCGTGAAAGCAGGGCGTAGGTTGTTTGGCTTTGATTTCAAGAAAGAGAGTCCGACGAGTCAAAAAGAATGCTTAAAGCTCTGCTTCGTCCACAGAGACTGTCTCTCCATCAATTTCAGCAGAACTCGCCTTTTATGCGAGATGAATTCACAACAGGAATCTGGAAATCATTCTGTCACGGAAAACACAAGTGAAACAGAGGATTTCATTTACATCTCGAGGCAATCTATTCCTCCAGTACGTTTTATATGTGTTAAATTAGCATGTTTCGATGTAATAGAAAAAATACAAACTCAAAGGGGGGTTAACTATGATTTTCGCAAAATATATTTTTATTTATTAGTATCAATCTTTTTTAACGGCAAAAGTTTCAATGAACAAATTACATGTATGACTTAAGGCTGCAAAATAAGTATCTCCCTCCGAAATCTGAGAAAGCATTTATAAACAATGAACTCCACAAAGTAAAGTATATAAGTTACTACAAGTAAGAAAACAGCTTGAATATTTCCCCATATAAATTTATAGATTTTTTTCAGGATGTAAAATCCACCACAGGGGCTTGCAATACTGTTGCATGTCCACTGGGAAAGAGGTGTGTAGTTCTACACTCGGGGAAAACAGTGTGTATAAGTTCAAGTAAGTGTTTTATTATCCTTTTTAAGTTTGACATTTTACAGCTGATTAAAAAGGTAAAGCATTACAGATTGTGATAAAAATGAGGAATTTACCAACTAATTTTCAAGAGGACGAGTCTGGCTGATTAACATACATGTTTCTAATCAAGGAATTTTTCTTTTCTTCTAATGACTGTATATTACCCGCAGTTCTATAAACTGAAACAATAACCCACAGGAGGAAAAGTAATCACAAGGGAAAAGACCATTGACACAAACGAAAACACCCACAAACAACATATTTGCTACAAAATATAGTAGTGGAAATCCTTGGTTCCTTTTCTCTGACTTACTATACATAGACGCGAATACCTACTCCAAGGAACTTAATAGAAAATTTGAAATCAAAAGTTTTTTTTACCAAAATCAACAGCATCAAAACGTACGAATTTTCAGCGCTTTATACAATCATTCCCCATCCACGATAAATTAAAGACCAGGTTTTTTTGATATCATAGAAAATTTTTCCTAATATAAATGGACCTCATAAATATACATACCGTGTTATAGGCCATAAACTTATTCTGCTTAAAATTGTTTTCTACATACAAATATTCCGAATCTGCTATTTAAAAGATACTCTAGTTTTTGATTGATAATACCTATGTAGTTTTTGGAGATCAGATCTTCCAACAATCTCTTAGAAGTCCCATGGGAAATAATTGTGCCCCGTTATTAGCAGACCTGTTTTTGTATTCATATGAAGTGGAATTTATTTAAAAACTTCTAAATGAAAACAAGAAGTCTCTTGCTGCACTGCGACCTTCAATTCTACATTTAAGAGATGAATTTAACTTTTGAGAATTCATGAGGACTTGAACTACGACGCTTCACGCCGGCATATTTTATGAAGCGCGTTAGCGCTTCATGATAATATGCAGGCGTGAAGCTAGCGCGCTTCATGAAATATGCCGGCGTGAAGCGTCGTAGTTCATGTCCTCATGAATTCTCAAAAATTAAATTCATCTCTTATATCTACATTATTTTTCTGATGACTTGCCACATATTTTTGTCAGTCAGCGATCATTTTTGGAAAAAAAAGTTTGCACTATTTTTTGACTTCCACCATATCACAATGGAAATATTCTTACTCATTCCAAGGTAGTTCATGAGAACATGAACTTTTTCTAATTTGCAAAGAATATTAAGGAAAAATATTTGGAAATGTAAATATTAAGATATATCGACGCCGTTTGATTAATTAACAAAATTCCTTTTCATTCTTACGTTGATCCGATATATCCCTTTGAACTCAATGGCACACCTTTGAACTAAGCTGATGATACAAGAATATTATAAATCTCGTTAGAAGTCAACATTTCGCAAATTTTATGGTCGATGACCTAGTAACAAATACAATTCATCGCTAAGTTGAATGTTGACTGACGTTTTTCCTTCAAATTGTAAGGCAATTATTTTCAACCGAATTGTCAACCTATTTTTCCTTTTTATGACAAGGAGCACACGGCAGGTGTTTACATGTTGAGTTGATATTTATAATTGGTCGTTGTTTTAAATATGCTTAAAGGAGAGTTAACGCTGGCGAATCTGTCATGCAACGGAATTTTTTCTCCGCAAGTATCGGATTCCTTTAAAATTGCATTATGCAATTTTGCATGTTTACAATGGACTTATTCAACAAAATAAGACCTTTATACCTGTGAAGTGTCTGCCTCCACTTAATAAAAACAATAAAACCCTTCAAAGACTAAAATAGGTCATCTATTACAATAAATGATAGTAAAGAAAACACAATCTAACATTTTAATATAAGAAAAGGTTATATTTAACAGAGTTTTATTACAAATTGCCAAATCACAAAATTTGCCCCTGAGATTTCACGTTAATGTTTAATTAGCATTATACTGGATGCTGGAAACTACTAAAGAAGAAAACTAATTAACGTATCATTTTGCTATTCATCTTATTCTAAGACGAGTAAGAAGTGGAAGCTTCAATTTTTTTTTAAAACATATACTTTTATATGCATGGGATGATATAAGGCATCTTAAAATTTTGTCTTGAAATATTTATTTGTAATCAAAGTATTCTAGGAATTATAAACAACAACAAAAAAAAAATACAACGTTCTGGTTCGAAAAGAATTTAGAGAAGTCATCATTCCAAAATGCATAACACTGTAAGGGAAAAGCAATCAAAACCTTGTCGTCAACAATACAGGAACGTATCATAAAACATTTTATTTTTAGGGCCAAAGTAACGATCGAACTATAACAGGAGAATATATGAACACTATGAAACACATCATTATACTTTAGTTCGTGTTTTGTTACTTATATGATATTTATGAAAATATAACTGATTCAAAATCGTACAATAACTAGTGATGGACTGATCTCGAGTCATATGTTACAGTCCATGCACTTTTATCGATGAAAAGTTGGAGATGAAGAATGTCCTTCAAACCAGGCCCATGTAAGAAGTCACGCAGACGTGATTTTGTTTGATAATCTATATTATGTACATGTATTTATTTGACTTTTTAACTTTGCTGTAAATAACTTAAAAACAATAAAGAACATGAAATAAGAAGTAATTTTGAATTTGGTTATGTTGTCTGTCATCAGGAAGGCTTGTAAAGAATAGAAGCTTCCAAATCCTCTTAATCCTTCAGCAGTGTGTATCTGACAATGCTGTAAATATGCTGAAAGGAGGGAAGATAATTTAGTGCATTCACATTGGATTAATGTATGAACCAGATGGAATTCCATCTTTGATATGATTGAGAGAAACAATTCCCATATAACTGTTTATTATATACATTACATAAGAACTACTTAAAATTAAATCATAATACTAAATAATAAATACGCGATATGCCGTGGTACGCAAAGTCTGTGGTACATGTATTTTGTAAATACTGGGGTTATAAACAGAGACTTCCGAGTTTTCCATTCTGAGGTCTCTGATTTCAACCCTAACCGGGAGTACTTGTACATGTATCTTGTCTAGAGTCTTAAAATGTATCGAGGTACATGTAACTTTTGAGGAATAGATTAGTGGTTTACAATAAGGAGGCTCGACCAGAGACGTCTGAAACGATTAGTTTGACAAGAAAAAAGTCTCTCGAAGCGAACGATGTCATTTTAAAGTATGTTAATGATTGATATATTAATAAAATACGAGCTTGAAGCGGGGATGCCTGAACTTGAGTGAGGTACCATGTGGAAAGATAACGACGGTGACCCCTTGTATACGAAACAAGTGCCTGTATAACGAACTACTGCTATAACAAATTTGTTGTATTCATTATAACGAATCCTTAAATTCGTGTTAACGAATTCTTGAATTTGTTACAACAAATTATATACGTTTAAGCGAATTTATCAAATTTATCAAATTCATAAATATTTTTCGAAAGGTCCTCACTGTCGAACTCGATTTAACGAATTTGATTTATCATAGCAAATTTAAGAATTTGTTTAAACGAATTTTACATTATCACGAATTAAAAAAAAACGTTATAACGAATTAAATACGTTTTATCAAAATGGACAGTTCGTTGTATCGAATTCATATTTTTAGTATGTTCTAAATGGACTTTTCGCTACAATTTATTCAAAACTCCAAATCGAAAGCACAAGCACTGGGTGTATTAAAAAAATAAAGATGTGAAAATCCTTAGACAAGATACCTACTTTCACCAATGAAATACTAATAAATCAAATGATTTAAAATTATACTTTATATTCACAATCTATTTACTACCAAAGTTCATTCCAAACTTCCGTATACATTCCAAAATATGCTGAAATCAGTTCCAGAATTGACCTATTATTCATTAGCTTGGGGCTCTGGACATTTACATATATATACTTGTATACTGTTACAGTGTATATACAGGTACAGTGTATACCGTGTTTGAACTGCTGCGAACAGTTGCATAGCATGTGCATAATCTTTCCACATTGCTAAGTTTACTTTTTTACTCTAGATCGTAAGTTTGTCTCTAATAATTCCTTTCGAGTAAAAACATTATAAAACATTATAAAACATTATAAAACATCTGCTTAAACAGTTGTACAGCCATATTGATTAATGATGTATTTATCCGGAATGTATTATCTAATTTCTGTGATTTTAAAAATAAAATAAAAAAAAAAAAAACAGATAAAAAAATTGTGTTGGTAATTTGGTAAGACCATGCGATCCAATCAGATGAAGTTTTGCGACTTGGCTTTTGCTTATAGGTAAATGATAAGAGTATGGGAAAATTCGATCCATTCTCTCTTTACTATAAATTTCGAGTAAAGAAAAATAGGTCATTTTGGAATTTATTTCAGCATATCTCGGGAAGGAAACTGAATTTCGGAGTGAACTTTGGAAGTAATGTAGTTTGTTTATAAATGAAAAGATATAAATAGAAGATATAACTCAAGTTTATTTTATTTGATTTATTAGTATTTTATTGGCCATTGGGTACCCTATCCGAAAAAAATTATTTATGTTTTGTCAGTCGGATAAAAGCGATCTAGATGTCGAGCATCTGAAACATAATCCTCCGATGTGTTCATGTTCTTCTTCGCCCTACAACTATAGTCCTGTTGGACATGTCAGTACTGGTGACGTAAATATAGTTAAAGCTATTCCATGTTTTTCCTATGTTTAGCGTCCGCGTGCGCCTTGGTTTTGGACACCCCATATCAATAGAAATAAATAAAATCAGTCCTGAAATTTATTATTCTGGTCAAAATCTTTTAATTCTGTCAATTTCCCTAATTATTTATATGTCATATTTGGTAAAGTTTTATAGTTTAATCATTTAATATCTTGATTCTGCTAAAGAAGGAGATCTTTCTAAAAGAAAAATAGATTAATAAATTCCAATGCTTTGAATGAGTCATCCTTATGACTATAATGTCTGTGATTTATTTTTTGGCTTGTGTGTTTTTTAAAGGTCTGAATTTAAAGCCATTCACCGGTATATGGTGACGTCTCTATATGAGTGAAAAATTCTCGAACGAGACGTAAAACAACACACAATCAATCTATCAATCATTGGTCATTTACAAAATTATTTTGTTAAAAACATTCTGATTGTACAAACAAGTACTCTGAAGTTGATATTAAAAAGATTCTTGAGTTTCTGATTGACAATATCTTTGTAGTTTTTGGAGATCGGGTCTTCCAACAATCTGTTTGAATTTCCATGGGTACCAATTGCGCCCCCTTATTAGCAGACCTATTTTTTCTATTCATATGAGGCAGAATTTATTCAAAAACTTCTACATGACAAAAAAAAAATCACTTGCTGTGGCCTTCAACTCGACACTTAATTAGATATAAAGACGACGTATTATCAATTATCAATAGTTACTCCCATTCATATGTCGACTCGATATATCCCAATGAATTTGAAATAAAAGATGCCACATAGTCTGACACATCTGTTTCATATTTGGATATTTTACTAGAAAATACTTTAATGGTAACCTAACAACAAAGCTTTATGATAAACGTGATAACTTCAATTTTTCCATCGTCAGCTTCCCTTATATATGTAGTAATATACCCTTATCAGCTGCATATGGGGTCTTTGTCTCCCAGTTGATTCAATACGCAAGAACATGCTCTACGTATGAACAATTGCTAAAACGAGACAAACTATTGACAAACCATTTGATGAAACAAGGATAATAATTTTTACTTCTACAGTAAGGCTATTCAGTAAAGCTATTATTATTATTATGTCATTTTCAAATCACGTCACCTTATGCAGAGTTGTTACTGAATACTAGACTAATAATTTCGTTGATCTTGATCATCCTATTTCTCTTGCTTTTGGGCAACAAAGCTTCATTTATCAGTTTACTTTATACTCTATGGATCCTCTAAATTATTGTATTATACTCAGGTGACCGTGAAGGCCCTTGGACCTCTTGTTTAAAGAACCACTTGTGACTGGAGGTGTCAAATACTTAATTATTTTACGTAATGGTGTTCCATGATAGCATCAATCATAGAAAAAAAAATAGAAATGGCTACTAACAGAAACAGAATCTGTACGAAAAAGTATTTTTTTTCTTGTGGATGTAAAATTATGGGTCCGAGAAGCATTTTAGTTCACATCAAAGTCCCAACACAAATCGTTACGGAATTTTTGCAAGTCTGTAAGTGATGCCCTGGGAAAATTAAAAAGAGTTAAATAAAATGATTGCAACGAACATTTCTAAAAATTTGGAATATTAATTTTGCAAATAATAAGTAATATTGTTACAGTGAAAAACATTATTACATGGTGTATTTTTTTCACTGTTTCTTGATAGGGTGTTTACACGAACCGCCTCCGGTTTTTTATGGTTTCAGCGCCCCATTACCAGGAAACTTACACAGCAGTGGTTCCTTTACATCAGGAAGTTATGTGGGTGACAGTAAACGGTACACATGCGCATCAGGAACAGTTCCCGTAGGTGGAAATCAAGTCACGTGTTTAGCGAACGGCTCATGGGAAAAACCAAAGTTTTCCTGCCAAGGTTTTGTATCAATTTAGACCAATTTAAAATGGATATAAAATAGATTGGTTTTCCGTTTGACAAAACAAAAAAAAAAAAAAAAACAAAAAAAAAAAAACAAAAAAAGAAAAAAAACACAACACATATTTGAAGAATTGAAATGATCAAAAAAAAAAAACAAACAAACAAACAAACAAACAAACAAAAAAAAAAAAAAAAACAAAACACAACAGATATTTGAAGAATTAAAATGATCATTTATTTAGTTAAAAAAAAGCACTATTATTGAAAATTTTAACTAAAAACACTCCGCATATTATTGCCAAAAAACAAAAACAGAAAAACAAAAAACGAAGTTGGGTGATCGCTGCCTAAAACACGACGATTGGCCCTATCCTGCTTCATGCAAATGCAACAAAAATATCTAGAATCATTTATTAATAGTAAAAGTCAGCTTCAATATATGTTTTAATATTTTTTCATAAAAATAGTTTTACATTTGTAGGGTCTAAATACTATATATAGTTAATGACATTTGTCGAAAGTCTTTAATTTAAAAAATGGATATGGTTGTCATTTCCCTGTATTATTTAAAGCAATTTCCAAAGCTTTGCAGATGAAATAGATGAAAAGCAGGTTATTGCTTACCAAGACAGTCAGTAATTTGAAAAGAAAAAAGCTATTCAGTCACTTTTTTTTTAATTTTTCTTATACCAAAGTTAGGTAAACCGAGTCCCGCAGGTAACCTATTGCTAACCGTTTTCGTCCGTCATCGTGCGTAGTGCGTTAACATTTGGAAATTTTGAGCTTTTTCTCTGGAACTGCTGAATCAATTTCAACCATTTTTGACATGTAGCAGTCATGAGTGAAGGAGATCAAAAATTGTGAATTACATGGTCTCTGCCCCTCTTGGGCCTGAGGAGTGGAGCTAAAAACAACAAAATTAATGTAATCTTCTTTACTCTTGGACATCAAGCAGACTAACTGTTTGCATAATTGCAATAAGCATTGAGTCCTCTATCAAAACTGTGAATTTCATGGCCCCGGGATCAGGGGTTCTGGTGCTAGGGTGCAGCAATGTAGATCATATATTGAAAATGCATTATTTCTTTGAAAATTATCTTCTCTGCTCCTTTCTATTATTTCTATTAAACAAACAAACCAAGTACATAATAGGAATCAACATGTGATCGTATCTTTGAGCTATAAAAATAAGTGATATACATCTAGGGCAAATGACCACCGATATTTTGTAAATAATTATTAATTTTCAGACACTATAGTTAAATGCTGTGCACTGATCATAAAATCAACATGACAGTTTGCAATGAAGTTAACTGTACATCTTTGCATTACGGATATTTACAAACAATTCAGGGTTGGACTAATACCCAAAAGGGCCTAAATTCCCTATCCTTTATCTTTTTCATTTTTATATTTAAATAATCAAAAAAAATGTTTTCATTCATTTTATTGTAAATCTTTATTATAAATTTACATTATAAAAATAGATTTTCTTTATAAAGATCAATAATAAATGAATTAAAAAATAAATAATGCTCATCTGTTTTATTTGCTGCATGTGGACCATTTTCTACCTAGATTTGAATTGTACTTTAATAACAAATAATTCATCTCACTTTTTATTTTTTTTAATTTATTATTTTGGTTTCTTTAATTTTTAAAAAATTGAGGTATTTAGTTGTGGGAATATATGCAATAATCCCAGCTTTTCAAAACTTCTCCCTAATTTTTTTTGCTTGAAGAGAGAAATAGTTTCTTTTTAAACTAAGTTGGTGTCTAAAATTGTTCCATATTTTTGATTAATATTTTTTAAACAAGCCATGTAAACAGGAAACAAATGCTGTGAATGCATATATCATTCTCGTAGATGACAAAGTTGGTATGGCGTCACGGAAAAAAGAGGTGTCTAAATGAAATAAATACTGATAATATAACTAAGTAATGTTTATGCTTCCTGATATTGTGTGCATGTACTTGCATTTCTGTCATCAAAAAACAAATGCTTCATTTTATTTCTATTTTTATTTCTCCCAACCGACCCTGATTAAAATAAATCCGTAAACCAAGAAATTAAAGAAGTGGCCTAATTAATATTTTATGGAATATCAAAGAAGTAGATACAGTTTTGGCTTAAGTTTATTATGCTCTAAAAAAATTTATATGTTCACAAAGTTTTGAAATTGGCTTAAACATGAGTTGAGAATATGAATGTGATAAATTATGAGAGAATATGGCATAAAGGAGGGCATTCTGGAAATATGACTTAATTAATTTGGTACATTTGTAAGATTTAAACATAAAAAGCCTTACAATGACTCATTTCAGGGATTATTTTCCTAAAAATAGTGTCCACTTCATTCTTTGAATATGTTGTGTAAAATTCTTCGAAAAATCACATTTCTCAAAATCTTTGTGTGCGATACATCTGGCTCCAAGGCCATAAAACTAAGACGAGCTAACTTTTGATCTTGGATCAACTTTTACAAAAGGAATATATACGTGTAGTGGAAAAGTGAGACTGAGATCAAAAGTGAGCTCGTCTCAGTTTTATGACCCCCGAGCGTGATTCGTATCTAGTCTGAAAGAAAATCCTACTGAAAATTGACGTCTTCGGCAACTTTTAAGAAAATACGGGAAAATGCGCAAATTTAGGAGGTCATACGAGAAAAACAATCTATATGATCTTCTGCATATAATATCAATGATTCAGAAGGTATGATTTTTAATATCTTACATCATTTTCATATTTTAGAAAAATACATGGCCAGATTTGTATTTAAACCGTACCCTGTCCTATACGAGTTCCATTTTTATTGAAAAAAGCAGTTGTCTATGATGTCACCAAGCCTGGTCGTGGATGATTTTACAATGTATTAAAAATCCTATGTTTTACTGTTATTGATTAAAAAACCCAAAAAGCTCAAGGGCAAGGGCCTTTATTGTCACCTAAATATAATACAACAATTTAGAGAATCCATAGAAACATAAAAGGATAGATGAAGCTTTATTACCCCAAAGCAAGAGAAATAGGATGATCCTGATCGGTGAAGTAATTAGTCTAGTACTCAGTAACAACTCGTAAAGTAAGTTCCTGATGCCCCCATTTATCACTATCATCATGCAGGCTATTAACAAAACAATAGTTCTTCGTTACTATTTTTAGGTCACTGAGTCACTCAGGTGACCTATTGCTATCTGTTTTCGTCCGTCGTCGTGTGTCGTCCGTCGGTCGTACACTTTTGAACATTTTCAGCTTCTTCTCCTGAACCACTGAACCAATTTCAACCAATTTTGGCATAAAGCATCACTAGGTGAAGGGGTACAAAAATTTTGAATTTCATTGTCCCTGCCCCCCTGGGGCCTGAGGGGCGGGGCTAAAACCATCAAAATTAGTGCTATCTTTAAAAATCTTCTTCTTTACTCCTGGACATCAAGCAGTCAAACTGTTGGCGTGATTGTAATAAGCATTGAGCCCTCTACCAAAATTGTGAAAGTCATGGCCCCAGGATCAGGGGTTCTGGTGTTAGGGCAGGGCTATATAGATCATATGGTGAAAGTGCATTAATTCTTTGAAAATCTTCTTCTCTACTCCTGGGTATTATTGAAACAAATTGAATACATAGTTATGATAAGCAAGGGTGACTCTACCAAAATTTTGAAATTCATGGCCCCAGGGTCAGGGATTCTGGTGCTAGTGTGGGGCTATATAGATCATATTGTGAAAGTGCATTATTTCTTTGAAAATCTTGTTCTCTACTCTTGGGTATTATTGAAACAAATTAAATACATAGTTATGATAAGCAAGGATGCCTCTTCCAAAATTGTGAATTTCATGGCCCCTGGATCAGGGAAAAGGGCGGGACTCTATTTATCATATAATGAAAATGCATTTATTCTTTAAAAATCTTCTTCTCTGCTCCTGGGTATTATTTAAACAAACCAAGTACATTGTTATAATAAGCAAGGATGCTTCTTCCAAAATTGTGAAATTCATGGCCCCAGGGACAGGGGTTCTGGTGCTAGGGCGGGGCTATATATAGATCCTATAGTGAAGGTGAATTATTTCTTTGCAAATCTTCTTCTCTGGCCCTAGGTATTATTTAAACAAATTAAGTACATAGTTATGATAAGCAAGGGTGCCTCTTCCAAAATTGTGAATTTCATGGCCCCAGGGTCAAGGGTTCTGGTGAAAAGGGGGGGGGGGGCTCTATTGATTATATAGTGAAAAAGCAAAATTTCTTTGAAAATATTCTTTTCTGCTTCTCGTTAAAAAGCAAAGAAGCTAAGTGTATAGTTATGATGAGCAAGAGTGCTTCTTCCAGAGTAAGGGTGGGGCTCTTGATACATGTAATATAGTGAAAATGCATTAATTCTATTAAATAATCCTGTCTGCTCCTTAGTGTTAAGCAGAGAAACAAAGTGATTACTTAATGAGCAAACTTCTGGTCCCAGGGTCAGAGGCTCTGGTGTTTCTCGGGGGGGGGGGGGGGGGGCTCTATTGATAATATAGTGAATCTGTAGTACTTTCATAGTTTTAATGATCAGTTAGACTTTTAAGTAATAGATAAATAAAAATGAGACAAAAATAACTTGTCTTATTAAATGTTTCATCAAAGACCAAGAGAGGCCAATGAAAGAGTTTTCAACAAGGAATTAAAATAGTACAGAAGCACTGATAGTTTGTTAATATACTAGTACTGTATGGTGATGGTGATAAATGGGGAACAGATTAGAACCTAATTTATGAATTGTTACTGAATGCTAGACTAATTATTTTGTTGATCCTGATCATCCTATTTTTCTTGCTTTTGGGCTACCAAGCTTCACCTTTCAGTTCATTTTATACTCTATGGATCCTCTAAATTGTTGTATTATACGCAGGTGACCGTTAAGGCCCTTGGGCCTCTTGTTAACTCCATGTTATAACCTTTCACTAATAATTATGCACTTAGTTGAATATTTTCAAAGAATCAAAAAATTAACACATTTTCACTTCATTATCAATTTAGCCCCCCCCCCCCCCCGCGAGAAAAAGGCAGAACCTCTGACCCTGGGACCACAAGTTTTAATAATTTTGGAAGAAGCACTCTTTCTCATCATTACTACGCACATTGTTTATCTACTCAATACCAAGGAGAAGACAAGACAATTAATTTATTTTTACTATATTATCAGTAGATCCCACCCTTACACCAGAACATTGACACAGGAGCCATGAATTTCATAATTTTAGAAGATGCACTTGTCATAACTATATATAACAAGAACTGCTGCTGTACAAAAGGCTTTTCAGGGAAACATTACATTTTCCTCTTTAAATAATTTAGTAAGATCATGCTGTTCTTTCAATTCCCATACCAAGTCATTACTTGTATAAATCTCACAACCATGTTCGAGGCTTGATTTTCAATAGCAAAATAAAAAATATTAAATGTGACCAACAACATTTTTGCAATATTAAACAGAAAACGACTAAATAAATAAAATCATCGATTTTATTTACTTTCAGTTTGCACTGAATCGAATGATCCCACTGGTGCTAACTACTGGGGAACGAAGAACGTGACGATCAATGGTAGAACGTGTCAGCGATGGGATTCACAGAGTCCGCATTCCCATAACTTACCGAACAACCCGGTATAGTTTTCCTCACCAGCTTTTTTTTAACTTAATTTAATAATATTGCTTTGTATTGAAGGTGCTAAAAAAATATTTGACAAACTGACATTAATCACTTCGATCTCGAAATCACTCAAGAATGTCAATACTGTTATTATGCAGCTGTATCAAAATTCAAATGTTTTGTATCTGCTAATATTTTCTACCTTAAAGTATTATATAAAAAGATATTAATATCCAAAGAGGCAAAACTGCCGCCGAAAATGGTATCAAAATAATTTCCCTATAATTTTTCATAATGTTTGTTCGGTTCTTCAGGAAAACTTTTGCCGTAATCCGGATGGAGAATCTCGACCATGGTGCTATACAACTACCTCCAGCATCCGGTGGGAATTTTGTGATGTACCCATGTGCTAGACATCAATAGGCTGAAAATTACATTTTCTGATTTTCAAACCCAGGAAAGTAAACTCTGTCGCTATTTGAACTCTATATTTCTCCATCTGTTTGCTAAATATAGAAGCATTGATTGCCCTTTCAAATTTTAAAATCCGGTCCGGATGCCTTTTTTTCCCTCAGAAAAATGTTTCATTCCTATTCTGCATTTTATAGTGTAAAAGTTTCTTATCCTCCCATACAATCCAAATATTCACTAGAGAAAGATATTTGAAATTGAAAAAAACTAGAAATATGTCCATAGGACATGAATGCCCCGCCGAGGGTATATTAGTAATGCAACATTTTAACACAAATTGAGAAAAGAACAAAGGAAAGGTCAAGGTGAAAAAATACTGATGCAGTTGAATAGCTTACATTAGTATGTATCAGCATATGAAGTTTGACACAAATTTAAGAAAAGTGAGGTCAAGGTCAAATGATAGGTCAAGGTTAAAAAAATTGTTTATGCAGTTGAAAGTTTACATCGGTATGTATTAGCATATGAAGTTTGATAAAAATATTATGAAAGGTTTTAAAACTAAGCTAAACACTAATTAAAGAAAAGTGAGGTCAAGGTCAAAGGAAAGGTCAAAGTAAAAAAATATTGATGCAGTTGAATAGCTCTCATCAGTATGTATCAGCATATGAAGTTTGACACTGATTTAAGAAAAGTGAGGTCAAAGGTCAAAGGAAAGGTCAAGGTCAAAAATGTTGATGCAGTTGAATAGCTCTCATCAGTATGTATCAGCATATGAAGTTTGATAACACTATCTTTAAAACTGAGCTAAAACTTATTTAAGAAAAGTGAGGTCAAGGTCAAAGGAAAGGTCAAGGTAAAAAATATTGATGCAGTTGAATAGCTCTCATCAGTATGTATCAGCATATGAAGTTTGTTAAAAATATCTTGAATGGTTTCATTAAAACTGAGCTTAACACTAATTTAAGAAAAGTGAGGTCAAGGTCAAAAGAAAGGTCAAGGTCAAAAAATGTTGATGCAGTTGAATAACTTACATCAGTATGTATCAACATATGAAGTTTGATTACACTGTCTTGAATGGTATCTTTAAAACTGAGCTAAACAGTAATTCAAGAAAAGTGAGGTCAGGGTCAAAGGAAAGGTCAAGGTAAAAAAATGTTGATGCAGTTTCATAGCTCTCATCAATATCTATCAGCATATGAAGTTTGATAAAAATATCTTGGATAGTTTCTTTGAAACTGAGCTTTGAACAGAGCTAAACGCAAAGTGTGACGGAAGGACAGAAGGACGGAAGACGGACATGACAAACACTATATGTCCCGGCCATATTCATGGCGGGGCATAAAAATCTATACTGTACAAAGACTGCTTATTTTGCTTTCAACCCGAGACTAGGACATATAGTACTTTGTGGCGTGAGACCAGTTTTCCAGTGGACGAATGATGCTTGAACGTCATTTATGGAGACAGAAGACATGCCAGACATGATTCTGTAGATAAATTATCGTAAGAAAGAATGGTCAATGTGGGTACTCCATGTAATTTTGAGTTGGACGCCTTGTGTTATTATTGTTATATATTATGGGTTAAAAAATTTATTATGAAAAAAGTGCCCGTGGCTTCCCTATCAAAAATTTATTTTAGTTAATTATAGTTAGTACTTTGATACTTTTATTTACTATGAAACTTCCCTTTAGAACTTTTTTTTGAGAATTCAAAGCTTAAAATTTCTTAAATTCGATAAGTGATGTAAAATTTGAAAGTAATATGTTAAAATACAAGTAATAGTTCCATTTGCTATTTAAAAAAAGATATGCATGTATGAATTGGAGAACATGAAAGATGAAATTGATCTGAAATCCATAGTAAAAATACTTTTTGATTTACTGTAGTAATAACTTTAATACTATAGTAAAAACCATACTTGACGCTGTTATTAATTAGTCCCCTACCGGTGAAACCGGAGGGGACTATAGGTTTCCTCTGAGTCTGTCCGTCCGTCTGTCTGTCTGTCTGTCTGTCCCTCTGTCTGTCTGTCCCACTTGGTTTTCCGCACTTTTTTCCTAAACGCTTGCAGATATTGAGCTGATTTTTGGTATGTGAGTGTATCTTGATGAGTTACAGATCAAGTTTGCATTTCGTTCCGCTTCATTGATTTTTGACGGAATTACGGCCTTTTCAATTTTTACGGGTTTTCCGCAATTTTCTTCTAAACGCTTGTAGATATTGAGCTGATTTTTGGTATGTGGCTTTACCTTGATTAGTTATAGATCAAGTTTGCATTTTGTCCCGCTTCATTAATTTTTGACGGAATTATGGCATTTTCAATTCTTAACGGGAACAGAACCAGATTACACTTGCCGGTAGGGGACTAGTATTGCTCATGCAATACTCTCAGAATGCTTGTTGATTTTAATTCATATTTATTCGTGATTGCATTTAAAATTTTTGTAAACTATCTATACAACATATATATATATATATATATATATATATATATATATATATATATATATATATATATATATATATATATATATATATATATAAAGTGATTAAGGAGTTTTGATTGATAATAGTCTAAGGAAAGTTATAATTTTAACAGATTGAACATACCCTCTGTTTATTACAACCATCCCCCTGTTTATTACAACCATCCTTACATATCTTTCAACATTTCAAATTGCTTCTCCTCCTAAATGTTCCTTTGATTGGAATAATAATTATTGTAGACTACAGTACGATACTTATGTAAACTGAATTGTAAACAGGTTACTTTATAATTTCTAAATGCTTCTATATCTCTACATACAGTTTTAACCAATGTCATTCAAAAGTAATATAACGATAAGATACAATATATCTGATTCCACATATCGATCTTTCAGTTTTGATAAACTGTTTCTTTAATTAGAATCAATTCTTATTTAAAAAGCCCTCTGCAGTTTTTTTTGTCTCCTTATAATAGAACTTGATATGAATGTAGAACATATTCAAAGACACTATTCATTTTTTCATAACTAATTTCTATGAACAACGTTTCGTCTGTTGAGGACAATAGAATGTGTCTAGTTTTCCTGTCGTTTTATGGTCTCCATCTGCGTGTTTTACATGAAAAATGATGATTTTTTTTTATTGATCCTTGTAAATGCTTTCATTCTAGCGAAACAAATAATGCAAAGAGATTGCATTGATAATTCATAGAAAAAAATCAGTAACACATATTTGTAACTCTGTATTTTGTTAAAAATGAATATGTGGGTGCACACAGAGATTGTACACATATTAATATTGATGTAAAAATCTGAAATTGTTCTTAATCAGTTCACTTGCGTATTTCTTGTTTATTTGTCCGAATGCTTGTAACGTCTGGTGTTGGTAATCATTTTAAAGATAACATCACTAGTCTGCAAATAAAATTTATGAAATATCATTTGTCAGTTAATCAAGACATCACATGTACTAGAGTTATTATTTTAAAAAACCATCAGTATTTAAATTAGTACAGTTACTGAGTTCCACAAATACTAAAGAACTATGTAACCTAGGTAAATTTCTGTATTTTTCTTATCAATTAAGAAATGATGTTTTGAATAGTGTACAATAAGAAATGATAAGACATTAAATGCTATTGTTTATGTAATTACCACTAATGTAAATTATATAGCACAAACTACACTTATCCTGTGCAAATCTTAAGTATAAATATTTATGTACACATTTTGTATACCTATGAGATGTAATGTCTCTGGTTCAAATAAAACAATAAAAAAAAAAAAAAAAAAAAAAACAATACTTAGTCTGTAAAATTAAAAAAATCTATCACTTGCCGGTGAATCAATAAGGGAAGAAAAGAAGCTGTAAGCCGTAAAATGAGTCTGTTGATATATAATAGCATGCAATTTAAAACTATTTTCAACGCCAACCTTTCTAATAAATAACATGTTATTACAAAGATCAGAATATGTATAGTCGAATAGCATAGAAATAATTAAAAGCACTTGACGAAGAGCAGAGTAGAAAATTAGAGTAAATATAAAGCAAATAATAATTAACTGTACATCAATACCGGTATATTATTTGCGTAACTTGTTAAAATATTAATAATGCGGCATTTGTATTTTCGGTCGGGGCGTTAGTAAGTGTTAAAAACGTTAAGAACTCAACAATAATTATCACAGATGCTGAAAAAATACACCAGACTTAAGGAAGCGATTGCATGGCGTCACGTAATCGACTCATGTGATGTTTAAACAAGAGGCCCATGGGCCACATCGCTCACCTGAGTAACTTTGGCCATGCTGTTCTTTACCAGATTTCACCCCTTTTAATATACCTATTGTGGCCCCGCCCTACCCACGGGGAACAAAATTTGGACAATTTACATGTAGAATCTACACTACCCCAGGATGCTTCCAAATATGTCTCAGCTTTATTGGTCCAGTGGTTCTTGAAAAGAAGATTTTTAAAGATTTTTCTTATATATTTCAATGTAAAACTTGGATTCCCTATTGTGTCCCGCCCTACCCCCGGGGGTCAAGATTTGAACAATTTATAATCTACACTACCCCAGGATGCTTCCATATAAGTTTCAGCTTTTCTGGCCCTGTGGTTCTTGAGAAGAAGATTTTTAAAGATTTTTCTTATGTATTTCAATGTAAAACTTGGATTCCCTATTATGGCCCCGCCCTACCCCCGGGGGTCATGATTTAAACAATTTAGAATCTACACTACCCCAGGATGCTTCCATATAAGTTTCAGCTTTTCTGGCCCTGTGGTTCTTGAGAAAAAGATTTTTAAGATTTTCCTATATATTTCAATGTAAAACTTGGATTCCCTACTGTGGCCCCACCCTACCCCCTGGGGTCATGATTTGAACAATTTAGATTCTACACTATCCCAGGATGCTTCCACATAAGTTTCAGCTTTTCTGGCCCAGTGGTTTTTGAGAAGAAGATTTTTTAATGACCCCACCCTATTTTTGTCTTTTCTTGATTATCTC